CAACCTCAAACTTTCACAGAAAAAACGTCATGAGTTTTTGCAATAAATAAATAAATAAACAGCAAAACATCAATCTGCAGAGATGCTTTTTGTTGTCTTTTGCTTGGACGCTCCGTTGAATGAAAGAGGAAGCCTGAGTGGAGGATTTGGCATGACATAAACATTGTTCCCTTTCCACCAGAGCACCAACTGAATGTGTTACTCTGTGGTGTCAGTACTAATATACATGTCTTTACTACTACTAATAAGGATACTACAGTGCTCTGATGTCTAGCAGTATGATTTTTGAAGTGGACTGTACATCCTGTGGATTGCAGCCATGAGGCGTTTGTGGATTAACCAGAATCTTATGAGGGGAAATTCAATGACTTGATCAGTACTTTGAGCTTTTCGGAGTGCTCCTCAATAGTTTTGTGCCGTGACAGAGGCAGTGGAAAGTAACGTGGTTGTTTTTATGTTAACAGTCTTGCTGTAACTGTTTCATAGTATCCTCCACACAAATTGTACCTCATTACAATGTAACAAGATGATGTTACTGATTAATATTGGTCAAGTTACCTGTCGGTGGTTTAAATGTAGTGTCTGTAGCCACAGCAATTTGATACAGTTTGTGTCTTTAGTCCAGATACTGTATTATTCATACCTGATGCTGTGACACGGTGTTTCTGCAGCACTGCAGAGTAAGCCTATTAAAATATAGTTTACAGGTTAAACACTGTAAATATTTCCAGGCTTTTGAAAACCCATGGGTTTTGTTCAACGTCTATCTGCCTTGAGTGAAAGAAACATATTCCTGTCTTTAAAGTCAGACATTAAAGCTCTTTATGTGTGTGGTACCGGTTGGTTCTCCCTCATCTGCTGACTTTTCCAAACGCTAACGCCTGAAAAATATTAACTCCACTACAAAAATCTACCAATTAGTGCAGCGTAAATGTCTGCTGTGGGTTCTGTCCTCTTCAGGTGTGTCTTTACTTAAAGGCACACTCTTGTTGTTTCTGTACCTGGAAGTTCTCGCTMTACCAGCAGCAGTCATTGTTTCCCTGCAGAAGTGCTGAGATGCATTCCTGTAGATTCACGTTCTTAGTGAGCTCTGCTGTTCTGCAAGTCTCCTACTTCATTGAGAGGAGTTAAAACGCAARGGTAAATATAGACAGAACTGCGTGTGCTACCACAAAAAATGAAAAAAGCTCTGTTGGATCCTTTTATATTTCCTCAGGCCGGTTGGTTTTAATAAAGTCCAACTGCATACTAAATATACCCCCCCCCTTTTTATTTATTTTATTTTTTTATGCTAATGGCAACAGTGTTCAATCTGCAGATGTTTTAAGTTTGCAATCAATTCAGATGAGTCAGTATTAGTCTGTATGTGCTGATAATTTGTCACCAATAGTCCTTAACAACAGATGTGACCAGGGGATTGATTGCAAACAGAAATAGCCTTTTTTTCTTTTGGGTAAGTTTTTCACCCTTCTAGTTCTTTTTCACTCCTGTATCTTCTCACTCGCTCACTCCATCTCTCTCTCTCTCTCTCTCTCTCTCTCTCTCTCTCTCTCTCTCTC